CAGTGTATTGTAACGGTCTCTAATGTGGGATTCGTATTATAATGCATGTAATTTAAAGGGTTGTTATTGATTGCTGTGCTAATCATACAGCAATCTTATTTCAACGCTATAATTATATTTATCATATTGGTTTAGAAAATGCATAAAACATAAATTACTGTAATTGGTTGATTTCGTTGCGTGTTGTTTGCCTCAGAATACGGGAATGGCACCGAACACTTTATGTGTTAATAGGCGACTGTTTATGTATCTTCAGTTCACATGTATACAGTCAGCTAAGGTAGAAAGTCGTGACATAGAATATCAAATGAAATTTTCTATATGACAGATATTTATTGTACGAGAGAAGCCATCTCGAACCACCCCATTTGAGCCAGTCTGGGCCTACACACAGAATGCAACTCAACTGACAGGTTTTCCGAAACTCAGTGATACTGTTCACGTAACTTAATGTGATTTGTTTTTTCTCAATGACTTACCATGCGACATGTACACGTCTAGTATTACGAACGACTAAATTGCCATCGTCTTGGATAAAACTATAAATAAATTCATAGTCTGTGGTAAAGGTCAGCGTTCTTCAGAAATAAGCAAATGCTGGTGTACGTAAAGCTATGGTGTGTTTAAATAAAATAGAATACCTGACCGTTTTTTAAAAACTATTCTCCCATTTTACATTAACATATTAAATATTTTACAAAACTGCAATAATCGCATTCATGAATTACATATTTGTTGTAAATATAGAAAGGTAATTAAATACAAACTTATTACAAATAATGTGTTGATGCGAATCAAGATGGTCGCATTGTATATTTATGAGGAATAAAATTGTTTTATCTTTTTTAACAGAATCGATAACTCTCGTCCAAGCTCGACGGCAACTTCGTTCACATGCAACCTTTGGAAATATTAACATAATGTCCACACATTGAGAACACTACTAAACACAAGAGACGTATGTTCAGAGAGACGTAACAGGTGGTTGGTGATATAGGGTGTTAAAACATGCAAATATTTCTCATTTTCATGTTCAGATAACAATTAAGAAACGACAGGGATTAGCAATGATTACCTGGCAAATGTCTCTGTCCTTGAATTTAGCTTTCCCAAGTCTCCCTAAATAAACACAGGCGGAACTACCCAGCACTAGTCTCACTCAACGTAACTTGTCAACTTGTCCCACGCAAGTAAAAACCAAAAGGCAAAAATAATTTATTCAGCAGTTCTACCGTTCTTGAGTCTCCCATCCCGAGTTTTGTAATCGTCATCTCTAACCCAGTGTAACTGTTGGCCTACGAGTTAGTAATCCCCTTGTCTTATTTTCAATTTGTTGACATTTTACACGAGGGGAAGCCTGATATATCGTGCATATTTTCTAAGCTGCCGCATACATCACGAAAGATACACATTTTATGTTGCTGGTTGCTTAAAATGGCAAATGTGGGAGAAATTATTTTAAATAAATCGAATTTTTGAATCTCTGTAGCATGACGGTATTTCGATAAATGAATAGTCTGGAGAATAAACTCAATAATATATATGTAGTTTGTATTCGTAGTAGTATGTCTACGATGTTCAGACTAACCAGACGTGTCATCGGTACAAACTACCTACTAGTAGTAACGTGTAAACATCCAAGTAGCTGTAGCAGATATTTTTTCAATTCTTCTCGCCATGTGTTCGTGTAAGAGTGTTTAAAAATACCAACAGTGTCTTCGTAATTCGCTTTTCTGTAAGCATGGTGTGTTAGGGGATAGCCCTTTGTACGGTGCGTGATGCCGACGTCATAATACATACTACTTCCGCACAGTGTATTGTAACGGTCTCTAATGTGGAATTCGTATTATTTTAATAATGCATGTAATTTAATGCGTTGTTAATGATATTTGTGCTAATCATACAGCGAATCGTATCTCAACGCTATAATTATATACAACATATTTACTGTATGGGTGAAGCCATCTCGAACCATTCTATTTGAGCCAGTCTGGGCCTATACACACAATGCAAATCAACACATAGTGTTTTCCGGCACTCAGTAATACTGTTCACGCAAGTTAATGTGATTTTTTTTTCATACCATGCAACATGTACACGTCTAATATTACGAACGACTAAATTGCCATTGTCTTGGATGAAACTATAAATAAATTCATAGTCTGTGGTATAGACCAGCGTTCTTAAGAATAAGTAAATGCTGGTGTACATAAGAACACATAGTCTATTTCCAGTTATGGTGTGTTTCAATAAAATAGAATACTTGAACGTTAAACTATTTTCAAATTTTATATTAAACACATTAAATCTTTTACTTTTGTTTTTATTATGGCAATTTGAAATGGGTCAATTTGCTGCAGCACAGTTTTTGAAATAAACAAAACAATGAAATAAACAATACCATGTATTAATATTAATTATTATGATAGTTCAACATTAAAAGCATCTGTGAATGGTAACATTTACAATAAAACTCAGTGGTTATAAAAATTAACAAAAAGCAAAACAAAACAAAAACAGATCAACAGTACATCAAGTGGTTCGTATAGGTATTTCAAACGTCCGATTGGTGCTACATATAATCATTTCACAGGCATGAGTATGATATTCATATGATACTCTCACCGTTATACGTGATCTTCCAACATTTATTTTCTGTGCTATGCAAAGACGAGACCTGAATTGTGATACGAGTTTTCTTGTTTAGACCTCATATGTGTAAATATATACTTTATATCTGATTTGTACTTAAAGGCCGGTGGCCTATGTACTTGAATAAACTTATTATTATTATATTACTCTCACAATATATTATTAAATACTAATATAATATTATTTAAATAGTTACGACAAATTTTACCACCATAACTTCTTGTGGTACATTCGTACAAACATCACGGTGAATGAATGAGTAGTGGAATCATAACTGTAATAATCCAATTCATGATTTACATATTTGTTATAAATACAGGATGGTAAGTAAATAAGACTCGACGCCATTTCTCGCC